GGAACTGGGTGATGGAGAGGCTGGAAGAATTCTGAGGAGCAGGATAGAAAAAGTCTAGATACTGGTGAGGGCCTAGAAGACAAAAAAGCTACGGAAAGTTTGAAACTCCTTGGAGATTAGTTAAGTGATTGTGACCAGAATTCTAGTTGAAATATGAAGAGTAAGACCATTCTGATGAGATTTCAGATGAAACTGAGGAATAAGGTATTGGAAACTGTAATAAAGACCGTTCTTGTTATAAACTGTCAAGAACTTGGCTGAACCGTGTCTACGCTTGAGGGCTTTGTGGAAGGCCAAACTTGAGAGTGACAAACTAGAGTATCTGCAGAAGAAATTTCTAAGCAAAATGTACAAGGAGGTGCATGGTTAATTTTGACCACTTATGCTGAGATTTGGGAGCAAAGAAATAATTCAAAGACAAGTATAAAGAAAATGTACAGAGATCCAAGATGGCCAATCACTAGCAGCTCAGGCTTGTGGCTCCCAGTGAAAGTGCAGAGAACGAGAGGACGCCACACTTTCAGACGAATTTTTGTTGCTCAAGGGCCAGGAGATTCCCAGCGGAGGAGCCCCAAGGGTCGCCACTGTGACTCTTGCAGCCGGCGCAGCAGTTTTGCCAGTGCCCTGGAGCGGTGGTTCTCAGTGCAGAGTAAACGGGACTGGTTCCCCTTTTGGCCAACGTTTGGAGCTGACTGAAGAAGGGATTCAGGAGAGAAGCCAGATTGGAGACTCCCGGACAGAAAATCACCAAGAATCTTGATGCCACTGTTTTAGCCGGCACAGTGGGTTGCTCAGATTTCAATGCTGGGAATTAACAAGTTGGATGCCCACTCAGAGACCTAATTTGAAAGCTGGTAATTACAAAGACGACAGGTGGATAAATTTACAGTGATGGGAAGAAACCAGCATAAAAAGGCTGGTTATGAGAATACCCAAAATCAGAATGCCTCTCCCTCTACAGAGGATCACAGTTCCTCATCAACGAGGGAACAAGGCCTGATGGAGAACGAGTGCATTCCATTAACAGAATCAGGCTTCAGAAGGTGGACAATAAGAAACTTCTGTGAGTTAAAAGAACATGTTCTAGCCCAATGTAAAAAAACTAAGAACTTTGAAAAAAGGTTTGACGAAATCCTAATGAGAATAGACAATTTAGAGAGGAATATAAGTGAATTAATGGAACTAAAGAACACAATACAAGAACTCCGTGAAGTATGCATAGGTTTTAACACTCAAATTGATCAAGCAGAAGAAAGGATATCAGAGGTCGAAGACCAACTTAATGAAATGAAATGAGAAGACAAGATTAAAGAAGAAAAAGTAAAAAGGAATGAGCAAAGTCTCCAAGAAATATGGGACTATGTGAAAAGACCTAATTTACATTTGATAGGTGTACCTGAATGTCATGAAGAGAATGAATCCAAGCTGGAAAATATTCTTCAGGATATTACTCAGGAAAACTTCCCCAACCTAGTAAGGTGGGACAATACTCAACTCCAGGTAATACAGAGAACACCACAAAGATATTCCTCAAGTAGAGGAACCCCAAGACACATAATTGTTAGATTCACCAGGGCTGAAATAAAGGAGAAAATTCTAAGGACAGCTAGAGAGAAAGGTTAGGTTACCCATAAAAGGAAGCCTATCAGACTTACAGCAGATCTCTCAGCAGAAACCCTACAAACTAGAAGAGAGTGGGGGTCAATATTCAATAACCTCGAAGAAAAGAATTTTCAACCCAGAATCTCATATCCAGCCAAACTAAGCTTTATAAATGAAGGAAAAATAAAATTTTTCATGAACAAGCAAGCACTCAGAAATTTCATCACCACCAGGCCTGCTTCTGAAAGAAGCATTACACACAGAAAGGAACAACCAGTATCAGTCATCCCAAAAACTTACCAAAAGGTAAAGAGTATCTCCATAATGAAGAATCTATATCACCTAAAGGGCAAAATAGCCAGCTAGCATTAAATGACAATATTAAACTCACAAATATCAATATCAATCCTGAATTTAAATGAATCAAACGCCCCAATCAAAGACACAGACACGCAAATTGAATAAAAAGTCAAAACATATCTGCACTCTGTATCCAGATCCATCTCATAAGCAAGGACACACAAAGACTCAAAACAAAGGGTCGGAGGAAGACTCACCAATCAAATGGAGAGAAACAAAACAAAACAAACAAACAAAAAACAGGAGTTGTAACTTTCGTCTCTGACAAAATAGCCTACAATAGTAACAAAGACTAAAAGAAACAAAGAAGGACATTACATAATGATAAAAGGATCAATGCAACAAGAGGAGTCAATGATCATAAATATATATGCACCCAATAGAGGAGCACCCAATACATAAGACAAGTTTTCAATGACTTATAAAGAGACTTGGACTCCCGCACAATAATAGCGGGAGACTTTGACACCACATTGTTAATATTCGACAGATCAACGAGATAGAAAATTAACAGGGACATTTATGATTTGAACTCAGACCTGGAACAAGTAAACTCAGTGAATATTTATAGAATTCTTCACCCCAGGTCCACAGAACATACGTTTTTCTCATTATCACATTACACCTATTTTGAAAGTGACCACATAAATGGAAGCAAATCACTCTTCAGCATTTGCACAGCATTTCACAGATTTAAATGAAATATTGGTTGGCTGTTTGTTTGTTATTTTCTTTCCTTATTCCTTCCTGTCTCTGCTGTTAAGCACAATTATCAGCATAAAAGAAGTTTTTAATACCTATTTTTAGATTGCATTCCAGCCTGGGCAATAGAGCAAGACTCCTGTTCTCTCTCCCCCTTTTCTCTTTCTCTTTCTTTCTTTCAAAAAAAAAAAAAAAAAAAAAAAGCACACAGCTACACATGTTAGGGCAAAAATCTCCAGTCATATTTTGAGTCCAATTTAGGAAAGTAGTTATTTGCTATCAGTTGAAGAATGCTATTCAGGACAAGTATATAAGGTCTGACTTTTGCTTTCTTCCAAAAAAACAAAAAATACATAGTGAGTGTATATTTTTTTATATGCAAAAAAAAAAAACCTTTAAAAGTTCTTATTCAACCTTCAAACCCCAGCACAAAATCCTCCTCTGTAGCCTTCCCTAATTCTTATGGTCCAAATAAATCCCTCCGCCTTTCAACTGTCAGGGTAGTCTTGCTCCACTACATCTTATAGTATAATAAGTTATTTATATGTCTTATTTAACAATTAGACTGAGAGTGTCTGAGCACAGGCTCCAAGTCTTACTCACCTAGCACAAGCTTCACCCATTAAAGGACACCTTCCTCAGCGGGGACCTAAAAAAAAGAAAAAGAAAATTTACATTAATAGGAAAGCAGAGTGTAAGGATTTGGAAACTGTCAGCATGGCCACATGAAGAATGAAAAAGTGCATTCAGAAGAGGAATGTAGCCAAGAAGATTAGCACAGCTAGAAGGGAGCCAGGTGCTATTCCTCAAGACAATGAAGAAAGACCCAAATGCATTTCAGAGATCTTTGAGGGTGCCACTCCTGTTATAGGCCCAGAGGTCTAGGAAGGCAGAGTGGTGTCTTGGGACTCTGTTCCTGGAGCCCCAGTGCAGAGTTTCATGGCTGCCCTAGCCAAGCCTCAAGTGACCCTAGCTATGACTTGTGCTGCAGTTTTGGAAGGTACAAGCCATAAAGCTTGGCAGTGTCGAGGTGGTGCTGATTCTACAGGCTTGCAGACAGCAAAAGCTGTGGCAGCTTGGCAGCCTCCACCCAGATTTCAAAGGATATCATCAAGAGCCTAGGGGCCCAGGCAAAGACTTGTCACAGGGGCAGAGCTACTGCAGAGTCCTTACCTAGTGGAGCCATGAAAGTGATGCCACCATACAGAGTCTCCATTAGGGTAATGCCTAGTGGAGCTGTGGGAGTGGGACCACTGCTGGAACCCCAGAAGTGTGCAGTCACTGGCAGCATGCAACACACACCTCGGAAAGCTTCAGGCACCACCTCGGAAAGCTTCAGGATGAAAGTAAGTTGGATGCTTTCATCCAACCCCTACGAGCAGTCACATGGGCTATACCCAGCAAAGCCATAAGGGTTAGGCTGCCTGAAGTCTTGGGGGCCCAGCCCACACCCCATTGTGGGTGGGAGGCCACACACAGGGTCAAAAGAGATTATTTTCCAGCTTTAAGATTTAATGTCCTTGGGACCTGTTACTCCTTTCTTTTTGCCTATTTCTCCATTTCAAAATGGGAGTATCTGTTTTATGCTTCTACCACAATTGTATCTTAGAAGTAGGTAACTTGTTTGTATTTCACAGACTCACAGATGAGACTCTGGACTCTGGACTTTTGAGTTGGTGCTGGAATGAGCTAAGATTTTAGGGCTACAGAGTTGGAATGAATATGTTTATATTTAAGCAGGACATGAGTTTCAGAGGGCCAGGAGTAGAATGCGATAGTTTGAGTGTCGCCTCCAAAACTTATGTGGAACTTAATCCTTAAAGTAACAATATTGAAAGGCAGGGCTATTAAGAAGTGACTGGGTTATGCTGGGTGACTCGGTTACACCTGTGATCCCAGCACTCTGGGAGGTGGATTGCCTGAGCTCAGGAGTTCAAGACCAGCCTGGCCAACATGGTGAAATCCCATCTCTACTAAAAATACAAAAAATTAGCCAGGTGTGGTGGCAGGTGCCTGTAATCCCAACTATTTGGGAGGCTGAGGCAGAAGAATTGCTTGAACCTGGGTGGCAGAGGTTACAGGGAGCTGAGATTGAGCCATTGCATTCCAGCCTGGGTGACTCAGAGCAAGACTTTGTCTCAAAAAAAAGAAAAAAAATGATTGGGTCATGAAGTCTTTCCCCTTATGAATTGATTAATCCATTCATGGATTAATGAATTAGTGGGTTAATGGATTAACGGTTTGTCACAGGAGTGAGACTGTAGGCTTTCTAAGAAGAGGAAGAGAGACCTGAGCTAGCACAGACAGCCACCTCACTATGCAATTCCCTGTTCCAGCTTGGGACCCTGCAGAGATTCCCCGCCAGCAAGAAAGCTCTTGTCAGACGTGCTCCCTTGACTTTGGACTTCCCAGCTTTAGAACTGTAAGAAATACATTTTGCTTCTTATAAATTATCCAGTTTTAGATATTCTGTTATAAGCAGCAGAAAATAAACTAAGATGGGGTGGAAAGCACAGTTTAGAACCAATGACTTCGGGCATGTTAAAGAGCAGAAGACCATGTGCCTGCCCTGGAGAGGGGTCTGGCAGGAGATCTGATTGCTTTTTTTGCTCCTCAAAGTCATGAGTGATGTTCCCTCGTTCATCTGTGTGCTGTGGTGGAGAGAAACAAAGGATGCAAGTGGAGGAAGAGGTGACTGAGACCCCTTTGAGAGACTTTAGTCCTTTGGGGAAGATAATTCACACATCTAAAACACAGTCGTAAGTGGTTTCTATGCGTCACATCACAAGAATAACTTTAATGGATTCAATTGGTCTTTTTAGTCAAGTGCCAGTTATCACTGTAGTGGCTCATTACTTTATTGTCTGACCTAATTAGCCATTTCCAGCCACTGTGGCCCAATGTAGAATGTACGAATAGAAGGCAGGAGAGATGAGTTTCTAATAAAGGTGGCTCTAGTATCAATGGCTCAGGCTTTATTTTCAAGGTGATAAACCCTGGTTCTTTGGAATTTGATTTAATTTTTGGAAATGCTCAAATGTCACTAGGAGTAATGTGTGAACACTAAGAGGTGGATGAGAATTGGAGTGACATCTGGACTCAAAGGAAGCTGAGCACACATGGATGTGGCTCAATGTGAATAAAAGGGCTTGTTAGAGGCTCTGCCTTCTAGGCGGGCTGTGACTGGCCAAGGACCTAGACCAGAACATCCTGCGCCTTGTGTTGGTCCAGGGAGGGCTTTTCTCCCTGCCCTTCCTCAACGGCCCTTCCCACAGAGCACAGTCACACAGCAAGTTGGATGCTTTCATTTTAATAGCTCTGGGCTACAAGGGTATTTAAAGCTTTAAGTCCAGTGATCTCATTCTTTTCAGCTTCTCAGTTCCACAGTTTTGTTAGACCAAATCTCTTCAGCAATTTTTGTGCAGCTTCATTTCTACCTGGAAAAAAAGATGAGATAAATGAGGCTTTTAGGACTCCAGGCTCCAGCTCCACCACTTCCATTTCTCCTCAACTCCATCTTCTGCATTCCAAACTTACTGAGACCCTGGAGAGGCTTACACAGAAGTTGGAGGGGTAGAAATTAGATTGACCAGAGCCTGAAAGACCTACCCTTTTCCCCACCTTGGCAGGGGCAGGGAGCAATAAGACTACAAGCAGGCTCCACTGTGGGAAGGCTGGGGGTTAGACCCCAAGGGAATCAATATCAGACAACATGGCACATTGAATTTGTTCTTTTTCTTTTTGAGACAAGGTCTCGCTCTGTCACCCAGGATGGAGTGCAGTGGCATGATCTTGGCTCACTGCAACCTCTGCCTCCTGGGCTCAGGTGATCCTCCTGTCTTAGCCTCCCAAGTAGCTGGCACTACAGGCATACGCCACCATGCCTGACTAATTTTTGTATTTTTTTGTAGAGATGGAGCATTGCCATGTTGCCCGGATGGCCTTGAACTCCTGGGCTCAGGCAATCCACCTGCCTTGGCCTCCCAAAGTGCTGGGATTACAGGTGTGAACCACCACACCCAGGGCGTAATTTGAATCCGCATGAGAAATTGGAAGCATATGAAAGCACAAAGTGAGGGGGTCTTCAACAGCAGGGGCTGTGGCAATTTCAAGGCTCATATGGGAGAGTGGAAATGGGGGCAAGCCCTCTCCCATCTCCCATCCCTGGATGGTGGGTGGTGAGTATTCTCATTCCCACAAAGCCTTGCCTTGGGATTCACTCACTTTCAAAGAATTGTTTTCCAGTTTCCACGCCTCCATGCACTCCTTTTCCTGCTCTTTGAAAGGCTTGTTCTGTTAGTAAGAGACTTTTCTCCACTAAGGATTCTAATTTTGGAGCAGAACAATCACATCAGCAGAAAAGTCACCTTATTTAAAGAGAACTCTGCACCACCTCGCCTGCCACCGCCCCGACTCTGCCCCCCGCAACAGGACATCATCCCTATACAAAGTCCTAAAGTGCGGAAGTTTTGCTGAAGGCCTCAGCACTTCTCTCATAGGAAGGTGTGTGAGCCAGGACAGAAACCACGTATAGTGCAGGCTGCAACATCTACTGTTGCAGAAGCCTTGTGTGTGGGTGAAGTGTGCAGTCCCATTTGTGCCTTTGTGTTCAGGTGTTTGAGTCTATCTGCTTCTTACCAGGCTTATCTCTGTGTGTGGAGGTGTAATATGGGCCTACAGCCAGAGACTTCTCTAGGTTGTTGATATGGCATAGAGACAGACTTACTTAGGCGGTTTAGTCCCTGGCTGTTTGAGGTGACCTTGGCTGTCCCCTGAACTGCTGCCGAAGTCTCCTGGGCTGCTGTGGTTGTCTCTTGGGGTGAAGCAGATTGTGATGGATCTGAAGTCTCCTCATCAGGCTTAGCTATGAATGCACAAATTGACTGATTTTAGCAAAGTCAAAGTATTCGTTTCTTTTGGAGTGGGTAGCAGGGCCCCAGGGTACCTAATATGTGCTGGGTGCCAGGATACAGAAATGATATGGTTTAAACCCTGCCCTCTCAAAGGAGATAGGATTTCTGCATGCTGTGTGTCTCTTGGAAGGCAGTGGGCAGGGTTGGGGAAGGATTTGGGCTAGGGGATGTTGAGGATCTGGGAGCACTTCATAGAGAAGCTGGATCTTGAAGGCAGGACATTAGCAGGAGAGGATGTTCCAAAGGGGCTTCCCTGGGGGCAGGCAGTGAGTGAGTAAGAGCTCAGGCGGAGGCATGTGTGGGATAGGTGTGGGGAGTGGAAGCAAGTTCAGTTTAGTTGATGTTGGTGGGGACATAAAAGAAAGTCATGGAAAATGGGGTTGGAAAATGAGGTTAGAGGCCAGATAATGGGTACCTTGCTAAGGAATTGGGAGTAATGGGAGGTGTTTGCAGGTGAAGGTATGAATGCCATGTGAGACATTGCCCTTACCATTTAGCCTCCTGTTTCTCTCCCTTTTATTCACAGCAACCTTTCCCCCATGCTCCCTATTGGCCTTACTGTCTGGGTCATCCTCTTTTGTCCTTAGACTTGTGCCATTCCAACCCATGCTACCTTGTTTATAACATTACCTGCCCCTCCCCATTATCACCAAGTGCAAAATCCAGATCTCCTCCCACTTGCTTCTTCTCCAGCCTCCACTCACATCCCTAACTGTTAAATCCTCCCAAGGAGGACTGGAGAAGGTGAGAGGAGCACTCACAGGTCTCAGCTTCCTGGGCAGGATCAACGTCTGTCGAGTCAGAGGAGGCATCTTCTGCAATGGAGGAAACATGCCAGATGAGAGCAAGGACAGAACTGGACCCACCCAAGCCACCCTCCCCTCCCATTCCCAAAGCTTAGCTCTTGGGAACACTCATGGATAGAAGGGAATCAATTTCCCTTTTGGTTGGACATGCCCTTCCACCATATCAGTGGGTCTACCCAGGCACTCTCTCTGATGTTTAACTCTGCGGCTTTTGAAACAGGTTCTCCTCTGAGAAGTGTAATGTCTCTTGGAACACTGCCTTCCTCCTGACTTGCCCCTGGCTTGGGAGGCTTCCCTGAGATATCTGTCAGGGAGCTGGCCATGGTCAGAGGGGCTCAAGCTCCTCTGTGGTGGAGGAGGACAGTGTGTGGGGGCCATGGAGGCACATGTTGAATGATTTCTGGGGTTGAGACCCCAGCTCTTATTCCCTTTATTCCTTTAATACAAAATTTATGCAAAGCTCTGTGCTAAGAGATGGAGGTGCAGCGCTGAAGAGGGCAGACAAGACCCTTGCCCTGACAGAGCTTACATCTGTCCTTTTATGCAATTATTTAATGACTGGTGTGACAGTGCTGGAAGGGAACGTGCAGCCTGGTGTGAGAAGGGCACATGGGGTCTGATTTTTTCTGCATGTGCCTGGAAGGCCTATTTGGAGAATTATATCTAAATTGAGATTTTTTAGATGAAAAATCATTGGCCAGGTGACATTAGAGTTGGTTGGGGGAGGACCCAGAGAGAGGGAAAGCATTCCAGATGAAGAGAGAGCAAGAAGGAAGGTCCTGATGTTCATGGCCCAAATGGTGCTTCTGTGTGATTAAAAAAGGCATCCCCTCCCTCTAAGAGACACAGCCAGAGGCCAGGCTCACTGCTTGGCAAGTGGAGTGTGGACCAGATTTTAGCTTCTACGACCCTGTGCCTGGGCACCCTTGTGCATGGGACACCCTGCTGAACTGTATGCAGTGGTCCACAGGAACTGCAAGAAGCCAGTGTAGCTGGGGCATAGTGGATAAACGATGGTGTGTGAGGGGATGAGCTGGGAGGGCAGGCAGCGGCCAGAGAGTTCCAGATTCCCTGGCCAGTGGGGTGCAGAGGCTACACATGGAGAACTGGAAGAGGAGTCACTTGCAGAGGTAAGGAAGCCAGAATAGCAAGAGAGAGGAGCAGAGGGGTGAAGGCAGGTGTGAGGGCATCCTTGTGGGGTGGTGCAGAGGAAAGGCCATACTCACCAGCATAGACCAGGGTCCCAGCCAGAGCTGCCAAGAAGAGGAGAGTGGTGAATTTCATTCTTTGGGATGTGGAGTGACTATAACCACAGAATCCACAGAGGGTCCAGGGAATAAGGATTCTGAAACTGCTGGGCCCTTTTAAGGATGTCAAGGGCCAATGAGAACCAAGCTTGGAGAGGTGTGACTTCCGCACCCTCCTCCTCTTCTTCTCCGGATTGTCACCTGCTAAGTCAACAAGGGCTAGAAGGCAGGTCCTGGATAGGAGCCTTTCTCTAGTAACTCCCAGTCGTCCCTTCCTTTCTCTTTCCTTCTTTCCCCACTGCACCTGCCCTCTGGGTTCACACCCCTGGGATCTTAGGGATGGTAGGTAGAGCACATCTCCCTTGGGGAGATTCTGGGATGTGTCTGTTGAGGGTTCTGGTAGTCATCTCTCCAAGAGGAGGTTGAGGGCCCAGGAGATTACATTGTCCACCTTCTGTCCCAGTCTACATAGGACTCAGTGCAGGGTTTGAAGGTTTCCCCAGACTGCACAGGACTCAGTGCAGGGTTTGAAGGTTTTCCCTGGGAAAGGGGCTCACTTGAGGTCTGAGTTCCTGGCTGCTTTCTCCCCTTGAGGGGATGGGTTTGAAGGTGTGTGTACCTTCTCTGGAGTTGTTCCCTGTTCTTGACATTATCCAGCCCCTAAAAAGAACTCCTCCAGCCCCACATAGGCCTATCAGTCTCCGTCTTCAGGTGTAATCACTGGGACCCCACATTGCTGACAGAATCTCCTCGTTAAAGCATGATGGTGGTTCACTGAAATTGGAGCTTGGTTCTCACTTCAAGTAGGGAGCTGACCCATGGTGTGAATAATCCAGAAAAGCAAATTATTCTGAAGAAGTTTCTCTTTGCCCGGGGTTTCTTTCTCTCCTGATCTGGGACTCGAGAGGTCTGGGGTTTAAGTTCTGACTTTGTCATATGAAAATGTTAGGCTGTGAAAAGTGTTAGGATTTTTTATTTGTTGTCTAGGAGCTGTGGCTCCTATGTACAGTGTAGTGGTGGAGATTAAGTGAGATAATATACAGCAAAGAATTTTTTTAGACAGCAAAGTTCTATGGAGTTGTGTGGGGTTCTTGTACTATCTTTCAAGGTAGGTTTTTGTCCAGGCTGGTGCAAATGCTAGATATTAATAGAATGGGCAGAGGAGAAGCAGGAGCCAGCTGAGGGGCTGAAGGGTGGAGAACAAGGACCTGGATGTCGGTTTATGACTCTCCCTTGCTTGCTGTTGGCACTCACCCAGCCCCACGTGGGCTGACTCTAGAGGCTTCTCTGCCTCATGGCGACTCTGAAGACAAGTGTGACAAGGGGGCGCTGGGGAGATTTTCACATGAGACTGTTGGGTGCCAGGATTTGGAGCATTAATCTTTTCAGGAGATAAAGGAAGATAAAATTAATGGGGTAGGACATTAAAGCCTTAGCAATTACTACCTGCCTGAGGGTCTGGGCCTGGGAGCCTCGCAAATGGTGGCCTCACCTGGAATGGGAAGGCTGAGGAACAAGAGAAAGTTTTGATGGCACCAGTGCCCTGGGTATGTGCACTACATGCGTGCACCTATGTGTACACTGCAGAAGGAGAAGTCCTGCAGATCCCAAACAGGCTCCATGAGCACATTAAAAAAGTCAACAGGAGCAAATTATGCTATTTGCACAAGGCTTTTCTAAGAGGAAATAAGAACTTTGGTGTCAACACTAGAACTGTCACAGAGCAGGGTCTTTCCAAATGTCACTGCATAGCCCTTTCCTCTCCCACGTCTTCCTCCTGGCCTGAGTAATTAAAGAGGCAAGTATTACATAAATAGGGATGAGGTGAAAAGTAGGGACATTTGTTGGCCGGGTGTAGTGGCTCATGCCTATAATGCTTGTACTTTGGGGGGCCGAGGTGGGCAAATCATGAAGTCAGGAGTTTGAGAACAACCTGGCCAACATGGTGAAATGCTGTCCCTACTAAAAATACAAAAAGTTAGCTGGGCATGGTGGCAGACACCTGTAATCCCAGCTATTCAGGAGGCTTAGGCAGGAGAATAGGTTGAACCTGGGAGGTGGAGGTTGCAGTGAGCCATTATCATGCCACTGCACTCCAGCTGGGAGACAGTGTGAGACTCTGTCTCAAAAAAAAAAAAAAAAAAAAAAGAAAGAAATTTTTATTACTCTATGACAGGGCTCAGGAGGAATGTTACCCCAAATTATAGAGCCTGGGAAAGAATTAGATGCATAGATTAGAGGAAAGAGACAGACTTCATGGATATGGGTGAGGGGTGGCTCTGTGCGTTGTCTTCTAGGGTATCTGACCTCTGTGATGACTGTCAACTCGCTGATCTGTGTCTTGTCTCATGTGCTGCTCATTGTACCTCTCTCCCCTGTGCCTCAGGTCTATTCTCTTTCATCTCTGCACTGTCTGGAAGGATGCCTATGGACTGTATCTCTTGGGCTCCTGTGCCCTCTAGCTTCAAGTTGAGTTTGGCCAACAGGAGACACAGGTGGGAGATGGGAGGATGGAAAGAGAGAGAGGTCAAGGCATTTGTTCCTCCTGCTCCCTTCCTTGCTTTGGTATGTGTGGTAGGATGACTTCAGAGATAGCTCCTGGTGATGCCCACATCTTGGCATTGGTGCCCTGATGTAATTTCCTCTGCTTAACTGGGCTGGGTCTTGAGATTCACTCCTAACAAATAGAAGATGGTGAAGTGATGAGGTAGTCACTTCTGAGACTATGTGGTGCAATCTTGGCTCACCACAACTTCTACCTCCTGGGTTTAAGCGATTCTCTTGTCTCAGCTTTCTGAGTGGCTGGAAGTACAGGCACCCACCACCATGCCCGGCTAGTTTTTTTTAAAATCTCTAGTAGAGACGGGGTTTCACTATGTTGGCCAGGCTGGTCTCAAACTCATAACCTTGTGATCTGCCTGCCTCGGCCTTTCTTTTTTTCTTTTCTTTTCTTTTTTTTTTTTGAGATGGAGTTTCTCTTGTTACCCAGGCTGGAGTGCAATGGCGCGATCTCGGCTCACCGCAACCTCCGCCTCCTGGGTTCAGGCAATTCTCCTGCCTGAGCCTCCTTAGTAGCTGGGATTGTAGGCACGCACCATCGTGCCCAGCTAATTTTTTGTATTTTTAGTAGAGACGGGGTTTTACCATGTTGACCAGGATGGTCTCGATCTCTTGACCTCGTGGTCCACCCGCCTCAGCCTCCCAAAGTGCTGGGATTACAGGCGTGAGCCACCGCGCCCGGCCAACGTTAGTCTTGTTTACACACACTATGTCTCTGGATCCTCTCGGCTTGTTCTGATGAAGCGAGTGGCTGTGATCTGCGGCTGTCCTGTGGAGAGGCCTACATGGCAGGAGAGACCTACATGGCAAGAAACCGAGGGCAGCTCCGGCCTGTAGCCAGTGAGGAACCGAGGCCCTCAGTTCAATTATACGTGAGGGATTGAACCCTGCCAGCTACCATGTGATGGAGCTTGGAAGTAGATCCTTCCTCAGCTGAGTTTTGAGGTGACAGCAGTCTCGATGATACTTGACTGTAGCCTCAGCAGAGACTCTGAGTCTGAGGCCACATCTGTACCTGGACTGCTGACCCATAGCAACTGTGGATAAGAAATAATGTGTGAAGCCACCAAATGTTTGAATAATTTTTGCAGCCACAGATACTTAACGCAGCACGGTGTGGCACTAGCTGTGTTTCTCTCTGACTGCAGCTTCTGCCTCATTCCTGTTCCAGAGCGCCATCTCTTGGTGTCAGGTGACATTATTTCCCCCACCCCCCAGGCACCCTGCTGCTTCAGGCTTCCTGCTGTTGCTAGTCCTTACTTGAATCTCTATAAATAATAAATATATTTTTCCTTAAGGAGTCTTTTTAAAAAGCCCTCCTGAGTGTGCTGTTTTCTGCCAGCACTTCTCCACTGATACACCACTTCCTGTCTGACCCACGATGATATCTTTTTCTCATTCCTCTCTTTGTGTGTTAAGCCCTGTTCTGGGGGCTGGTGGGGAAGCAGAGACTCCAAAGGGAGGAAGTGACAGACTGTTTCAGGTAGACAGCTCCTTCATTGAAGACACGGGCATACGTCGATCTCGGAGGACCACTCTGGCTGCTGTGCTTGACATGGCTGGTCTTCTCTGCCAAGCCCTGTGGCCTGCACAAGCTCTGCCACACTCCTCTTTTGCCCCGATCTTCCATCTTGGCCATCGGGGCGGTGTAAAGACAAAGCAACAGAGTGAAATTTTAAAAAATGTGAATTCTGATTCTTTAACATACATACAGCATGTGGCATGTGCCAAGCACTATTCTCAGAGCTTTATACATTTTAATCTCATTTAATCCGCCTAACAAGCCAACGAGATGAAGTGCTAGGAATACTCTTACTAGATAAGCAGACTAAGGCAAAGGCCGTTGAAGACGCTGGCCCACGATGACACAGCTAGTGAGTGGCAGAGTTGGATTTCCACATGGGCTTCTTAGCTTCAGAGTCTCTGCTGGCAACCACACTCCTAGCTGGAATATTAAATTCCACTTTAAAATAAATATGAAGCCTCTGTAACATTAAGTTTCTCTAGTTTTAACTAATCAGCACCTGTATTCATTAGGGTTCTCCAGGGAAACAGTACCAATTGGATATGTGTGTATTTGTATCTATGTGTATTTATATATTTAGTATAAATACTAATATATAAATATTAGTATATAAATATAAAACATATAGTATGAATATTTATAGACACACAGGCACACACACACATCATATATAGAGAGATATTGAGACACAGAGAGAGAAAGAGACAGAGAGAGAGAGAGAGAGAGAGAGAGAAGGGTGATTTATTTTAAAAAATTAGTTCATGTGATTATGGAGGCAGGTAAGTCCCAAGTCTGTAGTTACGGTCTGAAGGAGGTCAGGCTGAAGACCCAGGACATAGCAAATGTTATGGTTCAAGTCCAAAGGCCACCTGCTGGCAGAAGGTTTTCTTGCTCAGGGAAAGTCAATCTTTTGTTCTATTCAGGCCTCAGCAGATTGGATGAGGCCCACCCGCAGTTATGAAGGGCAATCTGCCTTACTCAAGGTCTACCAATTTAAACGTTAATCTCTTCCAAGAACACCCTCACAAAAACATCAGAATAATGTTTGACCACATATCTGGGCATTGTGGTTCAGCCAAGTTGACATATAAAATTAACCAGGACAGTACCCTTCAGCATTTTGATTTTGGAAGGTTTGATGGACACCAACTGGGCCCAGAGAAAAAGAAGATACGTTATGTGCAGCTTTAGAAAGCTTTTTCCAGATCTTAAGGTGATGGATTTCTTTTCTGTCGTGGTTTCACAGGTGAAGGGGTAAGCTCCAGGAAGCTGTGGAACAGTCCGCAAAGCAGACATGAGCAGGCCCTCTTCCTGCCTGTGTTCTAAGCAAAAAGGATTCTCATGACTCATAGGGGGTCTAGCTATCTCATCTGGCAATATCTAGAAAGGGACTTGGGGTCAAAGGCCAGGGCTAGGGGTTGCAAATTTCAATGCCTACAGGAGTCAAGCAGGTACCATTAATGAGCGAGGCAGTCCAGGTACAAGGCAAACAGCAGCACAGGTGCGATGATAAGTAGTAATTGCCCTTCCCTTTCAGGTGGAGGAAATCAGGAGGAAGTGGTAGAGCTGGAGCAAATTGGAGTGTGCCTGCCCTTTGTAAAGTGGCCAGCTGCTCCCACCTTGAGCTGATGGCTGCCAGACATTCTAATTCTTCAAGGAAAATTGGAAATCTGGATTTTCTTGTGAAACCTGATTTTCTTATTATTTCTAAACATTTTGTGTGATATTTTTATTATTTTAAAATTAATTAATTTAAAAGTTGACAAATGAAAATTGTATATATTTATCATGTACAATGTCATATTTTGAAATATGTGTGCATTGTAGAACGGCTAAATCAAGCTAATTAACATATTTATTACCTGCTTGTTTTGAAATAACTTCAGACTTAGAGGATTTGTAAAAGTAGTACAAAGAATTTTTACATCCTCTTTCTAGATCTACTGGGGACTTGAGCTCCCAAATGTCAGCATTTAATCTCGCTTGCTTTATCATGCTCTGCCTCTGTTTCTGTTTCTGTTTCTCTCTCTACTTTTTCCTTAACATCTTGAGAATTAGATTTGAAATTTTAATTTACACAACAGAAGACCCCTTTAGAAATGGCTGTCCTTTTTTTTTTTTTGAAATAGAGTCTCGCTCTGTTACCCAGCCTGGAGTGCAATGGAGCAATCTCTGCTCACCGCAACCTCCGCCTCCCAGGATCAAGCAATTCTCCTGCCTCAGCCTCCTGAGTAGCTGGGATTACAGGCACATGGCACCACGCCCGGCTAATTTTTGTTTTTGGTATTTTTAGTAGAGACGGGGTTTCACCATGTTGGCTAGGCTGATCTCAAACTCCTGAGCTCAGGCAATCCACCTGCCTCGGCCTCCCACAGTGCTGGGATTACAGGCGTGAGCCACCGTGCCCAGCCTCTTGATCATCGTTATGACAAATCCTGATGCTTGTGGGTTTATTTTTAGAAACAATCATTTCTTGAATAGGCAGGACTTGGTGGAGTTTGTTTTTTCTCAATGCTCCCAAATACAGATAGTCCCTGACTTACAATTTTTTGACTTTGTGTCGGTGAGAAAACATCACACATTCAGTAGAATCCATACTTCTAGTACCGCTAAAAGCATTCTGTTTTCTACTGTCATTATGGTGTTCAATAAATTACACGAGCTATTCAACACTATTTTAAAATAGGGTTTGTGTTAGATGATTGTGCCCAATTTTAGGTGAATGTAAGTGTTTTGAGCACATGTAAGATAGGCAAGACTAGGCAATGATGTTCAGTAGGTTAGGTACATTAAATGTACTTTTAACGTACATTTTAACTTATGATGGGCTTATCACGATGTAACCCCATCCTAAATTGAGGGGCGTCTTGTATGTGTTGTTAAATCTCCCTTTCCCATTTATTCATGACATGTTGAGAGGATTCCATGTGTTCTAGTTCCTTGTGGTTGTTGAGAGTCCATCCAGATGGCAGGGCTATTGACATCCTTGCATCCTTAAATGACTTTGTGGAGAAGACAGACTATTGCCTCTTGCCCCAAATCTGGAGCAAACCATCTTGACTTGTTCATGAGCTGGTGTTTGTGCAATTATATCTTGGATTGCTGTCTATAGTAGGTTAGCCTTCCCTAGTTAATATACTCTTGATGCCTGGGGACATGGCTTTCTCAAGAGCTGTCCTACTGTGCTCCAGTCTGGGCAGTTTCAGGTCAGTCTAGAGGGTACATTCATCTGGGGGTGGGAGGTTGGTGGGGAGATGCCTGTCTCCTTTTGGACTGGAACCTTCAATCTTGGAGTGATTTCCAAAGCCCTTCACTTGAAGGGTAGAAGAAGCATCTCCCTCCCTTCTTCCATGGAGCTGTTCAGGAAAAATCTCTTTGCCATGAACACTGCATTCTCCACAGAGCCAGTGACCCTGATGATTCCATTTTTTCTCCTTCTCTACAGGGCAGAGAATGATAATTCTGTGGCTGATTGGGATTAGGCTGACTTTTCTAGCTCCAAGGAAGTCCCAGGGTGGTGGGCAGGCTCTAGATGTCAGTTCTTCATGGACCGTGGGGTACTTGAGGGTCTGTGATTCTAGTTGTGGGTCCTAGAGCCAATTCCAGGGCAATGGGAAAAGTCCCCCTCAACACTAATGCAGGGTAAAATGCCGTTGGGCAGGCAGAGTGAGGGATAAGGAGGCAACCAGTTTGGGACTTGAGGCTTAGCCCTTGCAAATATGGGTGAGAGGCTGGGTATGAATCAAAGAACTTGCTGCAGTTTTGCTCTCTGGGAAGGTTGGGTCTGGAAGCTGTGGTTCAGGAGGAAGGGCCAGGGTGCCAACTGAAGCCTCATGGGGTGCTCCTCCAACCTCTTGGGCTCCTGGCCAGGTTTCTTACCCCACCTCTTCTGAAGGAAAACACACACATACTCCAAGTATTACAGATGCTTTCAATTTAATAGCTGTTTTGACTTTTTTTTTTTTTTTTTTTTTTAGGTTTTAGGCTGAAGACTTAAAATCTGCTGCTCCTGGGCATCATTTCTCAGCTTCTCCTTACAGCTGTAGTGCTGAGTCAAGGACGTCTTTAGCATCATGGATTGTTTCTAGGACAGCTATAGAAAAAAATGGGGGAAAGAGGTAGGAAGAAAAAAGGAAGGGAAAGAGAGCAAGGGAGTTGGGGAAGGAGAGGGAGGAGGAAAGGAAGGGAGAAAGGGGAAAGGGGAGGGGAAAAGGGGGAAGGGAAGGGGGAAAGGGGGAAGGGGAGGGGAAAGGGGGAAGGGGAGGGGGAAAGGGGGAAGGGGAGGGGAAGGGAGAGAGGGTTAGGGGTTGGGGGAAGGAAGAGAATATGAGTAAGGATTCCAGGGTCCCAGGCACCAGCTCCACCCCTTCCATTCCTCCTCAAGTCTGTCTTTTGCTTTCCAAACTCACTGAGGCCTGGAAGGGCTTACACAGAAGTCAGAGGGATGGAGGTTAGATTCACTGGAGCCCCAAGGACCCATGCTCTTTCCCACCTTAGGAGGGGCAGGGGGTATGAGCAATAAAATGAAGCAAGTTAGATTGCAGGGAGAATCATATCAGACAAGAATGGCCATTTAAATCTGGATGAGAAATTGGAGACATTTGAAAGCACAGTGAGGGGTCTTCAGTGTCAATGGTGGGGGCTGTGGCAGTTTCAGGTCTCATGCAAGGGGTGGAGGCTGAGGCTGGTCCTGAGGGAGCAGTGGGGACATACTTACCTTTACCTGTATTTTCTAGATTGTCAACTGCTTCTTTTCCTAGATTTTCAAGTCCATCTAGACCTTTTTCTAGGGTGGATTCAGAAAAGAAGAGGTCATAAAAGCAGAAAAACTGCTTCCTTTGTAGGAGAACTACCTTCCCAGGCACCATGGGCACCCCTAGGGCGAAGTGACTTTGCTGAGGGAACCAACTTCTCTGTCATGGGAAGGTTGGTAGTCCAGTATAAGCTGCAAAACCTATAGCCCAGAAACTCTGTGTGTAGAAGCAGGTGTGCACCCCCAACCCTTCCCTAGGAGTATAGATGTAGCTGTATCTCTGTGCTTGGTTTGTGCCTGTGAGTGCAGACTGGCCCCCAGATAAATCCTGCTGTTGCATGCATCGGAATTGTATACCAGGCATTGGCAAAGAGGCTTACCCAGAAGGCTGGATCTCTGCTTCCTTGGCTTTGGTGCCTGTCTGGCTAACCTTGGGTCTTCACCTGCATTTTCCTCTTGAGCTGCTGATGCCTCACGGGAAGCTGCAAGGGTGAGGGGTGAGAGGAATGATAGCTCCCTCCGCTCTTCCCGGGGGAGCAGGTGGTGCTTACTGCCTCAAGGTCTGGCTTGAGGGTAGCTCTGTGTTTCCCAGTTCCTCTAGAGCTTGACTTTCATGATGTGCTAGGTTTTTAGCATCCCTCAAGATTTTTTCCTGCTGTCTCCAAGACTTTTCCTGTTCTTCCAGGGCCTTTTTCTAGAGTGGATTATGGTTTAGGGAAAGTAAAGTCACATTGGCAGAAAGATCACCTTAAAGAGACTCCCCCTTGTTTCCATCCCTTGTACCAGCCCCTTAGTGTGCAGAGGTTTTGCAGAGGGCACTAGCTTCTCTCTTCTGGGCAGGCTAGGGATGAGGACAGAAATTTGACAGTCTCTGAAGGGGGCTTCTGCAGCTATAAACAATCCATTTGTTTATGTGCAGAATCAAAACTTCTCTTATTGCATTGGTGTGAGACACACCAGGGGCATCTGAGAAGAGATCAAGGTGTCTGGTGTTCCCTCTGGGTTGTGTGTGAGAAGGCAGGGGGAGTGCAGGTGTGTGCTGCGGTTGGGGCTCACAGTGCGGTGAAGGTGTAAGAAAATACAGTTTATCTTTCTGCTGTTAATTAAGTATCCTGAGTGTGTACATGGCTGGGGAAGTAGAAATGAATGAGAATTAGATCTCTCTCTCAAGGGTTTATGGAGACAGAACTGCTACATATGGGAAGCCCAGAAGAGGGAGGGATGAAAGGAGAGATGGGAAGAGAAAGAGGCACCACACCCACAGGGCAGGGAAGGCTTCAGAGAGCAGCTGGGGCTTGAAGCTTGATAAAATACGGACAGGTAGGGGTTGAAAGGCGCCTGGGGAGGAGGAATGTTCGGTAGTAGATAGTTACTCATTTTGCTGGATGAAACAAATGTGTAACATTTGATGTGGGGAATACAAGCAGTGGAGTCCAGGGAAATTATATTTGAAAAGTATCCTGGATCTAGGTCATGAATACCCTGACTGTCAGACTAGGAGGTGAGAGTTTTGTGATGGGAAATGGGGAACCACGTGAAAGGTTTTTGAATTGAAATTGTTGGTGAGGGTGGGGCATGATGAAAACTTCTGAACCTGTCTAGTGTTAAGTTCCTCCTCTTGCTCAAGACAAGTTTTCCTTTCTTTCCCTTTTTTCTTACTCAACTTCTACTTCCATACAGGGCTACCCTTTCCCCCAGGCTCTGTCCTTCTCCCATGAGTGAGTCTCTCAGGAAGTCTCCCTTTTCAGCGTCTCCAGAATGTCTGCCTCCCAACTCTCTTTCCGCTGGACCCCTCTTCTGCTTCTATGACTTCCTCCACTCATAATCCGCATCATTAACCCTCCCACCCAGGACTGGGGCAGGAGGAAGAGGAAGGACTCACGGTTCCCCGATCCTGAAGCAGAGGCAGCCTCTGCATCATCTGCAAAGGAGGAAACAGTGACCATGTCAACTAGGGTGCACCTGCATGAGCCATATCCAGCCAGGGCTGCCTAGAGTCCCCAGGCCTCTCATCTCAGGAGTGTGGCAGTGGACAGACAGGAGAGAAAGCTCTGCTACACAAGAGGTTCGCCAGAAATGCTTTTTGATATCTCAACCAAATCCCTCTCTGTTATCCTCCCCAGACCTAGGCTACTCATAACATCCCTATGGAATGGGAATCATTCTCTGACTCTCTTCTATACCTTAGATATCCAAGTTGCATAATGAAAATTGAAGGGGCATGACAACTAGGGCATGACCACAGCACCTGCCCTAGTGATAGGGCAAGAGTTGTTCTGACTGTCACCTGATATGGGGACCTCAGTTCTCTATTTCTTTATTCTTCCAACAGCATGAATGAAGCACACATTATCACCAGACAAGTTAGCCAGAGTATGAAGTCAGTTCCCAGTTCGCCCTTCAGACAGGGGAGGGAGGCCAGTGGTGTTAGAGGCTGGAGATATAGCTATGAGGAAGACAGTGTTTGCTCAGGGAAGCTGACAGTCAATGGGGGATTTGGAGGAATTAACATAATTACATAAACAATTATTTAATTACGTTTGTGTTAGTGCTAGGAAGGAAAAATACAGGAGGTAGTAAAATGAAAAAAAGGGACCGAAATGATTCTGGGGCTTCAGTAATGCTTCTGTGAGGAAATACATGGAGACAGAGAACCGGAAGGGCAGACTTGGAAATTGAACAGGAGGGAGGTTGACGTGGGTGGGTGAAAGAATGGGCAGGGGAAAAGACAAGAGGATGTGCAGAAGTCTTGGTGGTAGGAAATGGCATGGTTCATTGAAGGAAAAAAGAGTTCCAGAGTGGTTGGAGCAGAGGGGGCCAAGCACAGACTGAGAGGGGAGGCCGTGCTGAGTGTGCTGGGGCCAGGGGGCTCCTGGCTTCCTCTGGCCAGTGGGCACAGGGCCCCTGTGTTGAGAACCCAGTGGGAGGCAGGAGTGGCTACAGAGACAGGCATGGGAGAACTGCCTCTGCTGATGAGGAGAAGGGGAAATGAAGGCAGGGGCCAGTCTTCCAGGGACTATACGGTTGGGTGTAGGGGAAGAGCCATACTCACAGGCACAGACCAGGGCTCCTGCCAGAGCTGTCAGGAAGAGGAGAGTCATGAACCTCATGCTTCTGTATACTGGAGTGGGTATGCCACCAAATCCTTGGAGATCCTGGGATCTAAGGTGTCCAGACTGCCTCTCTGGGCCTCTTTTAAGCATGACAGGGACCAATGGGAACCAGTTTTCCAGTGGTGTGTTCTCCTCCTCCTCTTCTCCCACCTCAGAGCCACCTGTTAAGTCAACAATGGCTGGCTGGGGCCGGCTGGTACCCGCCTTCCCTGCAGGTAGGTCCTGGACAGCAGCTCCAGAGCTGGCACCGTCCTGACTGGCATCCTTTGCCTTCCTCTCCTCTCCCCATCTCGCTTGTCCCTGGCCTCCCCAATCTGATCACATCTAGGGTTCTGGGGAGACTGTGAGAGGTTTCTGGAGAGGGCTCTGGCAGGGAGCTGTGCCCAGAAAGCTCTCCTTCCACCTGGAAACAGGAGGGGGGTCCAAGACATCAGGAGAGAATGGGGGTGTCTGAGGTTTCCCTTGAGTGGGCTAAGCCCATCCCAGGAGGCTGCCCTCATAGCATTTGGGTACCCCTCCTGACTAAGGTCCAGAGAGGTTGCTGTCCTCTCTAGGATTCTCCATATGGTAAGCAGAGCTCTCCAGCCTCAGTAGGCCCTGACTAAGGTATCTTCAGTCCCAGCTAATGATCCTCTACCCCAGAAAATTCTGGTAAGTTAGCCAGAGTATGAAGTCAGTTCCCAGTTTGCCCTTCAGATAGGAGAGGGAGGCCAGTGGTGTGGACAATCCCGATAAGTGGAATATCCAAAGGCTCTTCTCTCCGCCTCAGGAACCCTTCCTGCAGACTTGCGTTTGCTTTGAATTGGCAGAAACAGTCCTAGAGATATGGGTTTTGTAATTTGATTTTGCTGTTTACTAGCTGTGTTGCCTTCAGAGAGGCAATTCACCTGTCCCACTTCAATTGTTTTACTTTCTTCTTTTATTTCATGGTAATACGTAAGGTGTAGCATGGTGTTTTGATATACACGTAGACAGTGAAATGGTGACTATAGTCAAACAAATGAACATCTCCATCATTTCACCTAATTAGCCGTGTGTGTGTGTGTAAGAGCATGTAAAATCTACTCTTCCAGCAAAAGTCCCAAATTCAGTACAGTATTATTGAGTCCAGCTCTCATGTTACACTTCAGCTGTTTTGCATTTGATGGTGAGAAATGATCATTCTTTTTTTTTTTTCTTTTGAGATGGAGTTTCGCTCTTGTTGCCTAGGCTGTTGTGCAATGGCTGGGATTACAGGCATGGGCTACTGTGCCCGGCTAATTTCGTATTTTTAGTAGAGACAAGGTTTCTCCGTGTTGGTCAGGCTGATCTCAAACTCTCAACCTCAGGTGATCTGCCCACATTGGCCTCCCAAAGTGCTGGGATTACAGGTGTGAGCCACTACACCTGGCCTGAGACATGATCATTCTTATCCTACAGGTTTTGTGTAAGGAATACATGTGTCAAAACTGGTCAGTTCCCTCCATCTATTCTGTCCCCAAGCTGGGGAGCTGAGGATAACTTGGAATCTTGGTTTCTGCTCCTGATTAAGCCGGTTACTTCCCTGAGATGTCTTCTCTCCACAGAGTGGAGCCTGCCCTTGCTCCATTCCTGGAAACTGTGTGAAAATGGACTGAGATTTGTTTCCTGAGGTGCTCTTTCTGTGCCAGGCACTGTGCTGGGCCCAGACAGATAAAGATGAGTAGACTGTGGTCTTCCTTGGGAGGGTACACAGTGGACAAGGATCTCAGACAGATGAAGGGACAATCAGTGGTAGCAGGGGACTCCGCCCTGGAAGAGAAAGTACGCTCCTCCTAGCCTATGGGACTGAAGCAAAGTTCTGCTCCACCAGTTAGAGGCTGAGTGATTTTAGGCATGTCACATAATCTCTCTGATTCTCGTCTCTGCAGTGTGACCAGGATACTTATAAAATTCGAGCAGGAAAAGCACAGATCCACTTTCTGGGTCAATTTTCTGGGGCTCTTCCCTGTGCTCTGGATGTCTTCCTCCACCTCCACAGGATCTCAGTCCATCTGAGCTCCCACCGTCTCTCCTGTTGTGTGGTTCGTTGTGAGCCTCTCTTGGCTTTATTCCTTCAACATCTAGACATCTTAAAAATAAGCAAAATGTTCCCTTTCTACTATCCCCGTCTAGCTTCTTTCCAATCCTGCAACCAAGCTTTTTGAAAACAACTCCATTTTGTTTTGGCCTCAACATCCGTGTTTTGCTTTGTGTTCTTATCACCCTGCAGTGTTTTCACCACCATCCCTGGAACTGAGACGCAACCTTTCCAAGGTACTCAAATACAGTCGCCACTTTTCAGCCTTTATCTCATCTGATCTCTGTTGGCTCTGACACTGTTAGAACCACTCATCTTTTGAGGTGCTGGGGTTTTCTTTCTCTCTCTCTCCTTTTTTTGACCACCCTTCACTCCCACTTTCACTCACCTTACCTGCCCCTTCCATATTCTCTGGTGTTCTATTCTTAGCCCTTTTCTTCTCTCCTCTTACACACTGTCCTGTGTGACTCATTCTCGGAGTCACACTTCTGACTCCCACATTTTCATTCCAGCCCAGACCCCTCTCCTGAACACTGTTATCCATGAATAGATGGGCAGTAACAAGATGAACCCTAGGGGTTGAAACTGGCCTCACCTACCTTCCCCACATCTTCCCCATCACCTGCTGCTCCTCCTGCACCATTTTCTGTTCTTATTAACAGTATTGACATTCACCCAGTTATCTAAACAGAAATCTGAGGGTAATTTCACATTTTTTCTTCTCCTGGCCCCCTATGTACAAGGACACTGGGGTTTATCAAGTGCTGTCTCTTCATCAACCCCATGGCTCTAGCTCAGAAGCCTCTGCCTGGGGGCCTTGCCATTTTTTATGTCCACTGAAGAAACAGCTTCACAACTGATTTTCCCTCTGACAGTCTCAAGTTCCATCTCCCAGCTGTCTAAGTGATTTCTAGTAGACAAACTATGTGCAGAGCACACACCGTCTTTCATGAGCTGGCGTCTGTCTGCCCCTTCAGTTTCAACCCTTCTCACACCCTCATTGAGACTGCCTCAGTCACATTAAATTTCTTTCAGTTTCTTACATAGATTTAGGTTTTTCCTGCCTCTGCCTCTTCACGTATTTTCTTCTGTATATTGTCTTTAATGCCCTCTACGATTAGATGACAGAGCTTCTTCCTACTCATTCTTCAAGATTCAGATCAGAAATACCTTCCTCCTGGAAGATTTAATTTTTTTTTTTTTTTTTTGAGATGGAATCTCACTCTGTCACCAGGCTGGAGTGCAAGCTGGAGTGCAATGGCACCATCTCTGCTCACTGCAACCTCTGCCTCCCGGGTCTGAGCGATTCTCCTATCTCAGCCTCCTGAGTAGTTGGGACTGCAGGCATGTGCCACCATGCCCAGCTAATTTTTGTAATTTTAGTAGAGACGAGGCTTTACCATACTGGCCAGCATAGTCTCGAGCTTTTGACCTTGTGGTCCACCCAACTCGCCTCCCAAAGTGCTGAGGTTACAGGTGTAAGCGACTGTGCCCAGCTCCTGGAAGATTTTCTTGGCATTCTTCTTGTACTCCTTCCCCTCCCCACCAAAGTGAGAGCAGAGTTCTGGGCTAGGCACTTCCACCATCCCCTTGTTCTTCTCTTTATCTGTGCATCACTCAGGTGGTACTGGGATTGTCTGTTCAGTGCTTGGTTTTCTACACTAGGCTTGAGCTGTGCAGTGAAGGACCATGTTTAATTTGTTTGTGTACCCCAGCCCCAGTGAAGATGCCAGACACACAGTTAGCATGCAGTAACTTGGTGAAGTGCAGCTAGAAACCTACAAGTGAGCAGGGCTAGAAACCTTCAGAATTTGGGCAAGAGATGAGAACTGGTGGATAAAGCTTAGATTAAACTAATAACATTAATCTGTTGGAAACAGATATACCAAGCTGCTTTAAAATATTTAATATTTGTTTATAGTTCTTTCTTTGAGGTAAACTTATATACAATGAAATATACATATTAACTGTATTTTTTGGTCTTGACAAATGCTTCTACTGATGTAACCCAGACTCCAATCAAGATATCAGGCTTGACCAGCAACCCAGAAACTTTCCTCCTGCCTTTTCTCAGGTGATACCTGCTCCGGCTCCTAGAGGCAAACTGAACTGCTTTTAAATACACTTTCTTTTTTCTTTTACTTTAAAGAGATAGGCTCTTGCTCTGTCACCCAGGCTGGAGTACAGAAATGTCATCATGACTCACTGCATCCTCAAACTTCTGGGCTCAAGCAATTTGCTCACTGCAGCCTCTCAATTTAATGTACTCCTTGCTGGAATATCTGTGGGGTTTATTCAACCCTAGCTTGACAGCCTTCTTTCTCTGTCTTGTAATGTGGGCTTATGACTGTAGAAACCTGACAATTCTGGCCATAGAAGCATCCTTGGGTCACGAAAGAGAGCTTGCATGCTTTCAAAGGTGTGGAGAGTCTCTTTGGTGTTCCATGGTGAAAAGGGTCAGCACTGGGCCTTAAATTTTCATGCAGTTCATGTGTGATTCCCCAGGAAGGGCCCAGAAGACAGGTTAAGATATGGGGAATACTTGGCTCTGGACAGAATCAGTTTCTGTTTAACTGATGCCTTCCAGCAGCGTCCTCAGAAGAAAAGGTCAGGTAGGTTCAGAGGTCCAGTGTGGGAGTAATGTGGTTAAGAACTGGGAGTCAGGAGGTGAGTTAAGTCTAATATCAAAGGTGGGCAGTAACCGTGCAGGGCAAGGAGAATTCAAAGAAAGGTTGGCAGGGGCTTCATTCCTTTTGCAGGAACTGGGTACTGGCATCTGAGGGATAAGTATGAGTTGGTATCCACCCTCATGGAGTTCATAATCTAGGCTTGGTAATAAAGTTATGCTAAACAATTTGATATTAATATGGCCTGTAAAGGAGAACCTCGAAGGGAAAAATGAAGGTCTGAAGTAGTTCAGGGATGTTGAGAGGAGAAGAGGGGAAACTCAGAGGAAGCACTCAGAGGCATCATGGTCAGGAGAGTGAGGGAGAGGAAGTGCTCCATTCCTGAAGATCTGAAACCAAGTGAGTAATAGGGTCGGCGATTTGGAGGGCTGAGTATGGAGAACACACACGTTGTGTGTGTGCGTGTGTGTGCACGTGTGTGCGTGTGTGTGCATGCACACATTTGAGTGGGAGATCTGTGTAGGCAGAGGGTGATGCTCCCTTCTCAGTCAGAAGGTCATCTTGGACAGATCATTACACAGCCACAGGAACAGTTCTTGCTATTTGCACAAGTCTTTTCCAGGAGGAGATTAGCCCTCAGGGTTCTGGAGTCAGCACTGCCAAGGAGCAACCTCTCTGCATTCCTCCTTGCCTCCCTTCCCTAGCTGGGCCTCAGGAATGAAAGGAGCAGGGACTTCCAGGAGTTGTGGGGAGGGAGCAGAGGCCTGTAAGGTAAATACCTTTCCCCCCCTAACACTTAAAAAAGATGTTTTTCATGAATTTAAAACAAGTGTGTAATATTCATTACCAAGCTTAGCCTGTTACTCATTATGGAGAGGGAGGCCTGGGATGGGAATGGGGCGGGGATGCCCAGAAGACTGCAACTCCTTTCCCCCGATGTGGTTAAAGGAAAACACCCCAGTTCTCTGGGTTCCTTGAGGGAGCACTTGTCCGTGGACACCTGGTTGAAGACCCTGGTGCTTGCTGGGGTGCTAATCTGCCCCTTCTTCTGTTCTGCACCTTCTTTCCTTATTCTTCATTCTTCTCTATCTGGGGATGGAGTGCTATTGTAGACAGTAGGGTAGGGAATGTGGGATACAGAGGGAGGAGGTGATCCTGCCTTTACGAGGATGGGAGGTTGATTCCTGCATCTGGGACATGGACATGAGGGCCTTTACCCGGCCATCTCACACTGATCCTAACTGACTCCACTGCTCCTTCTGTTACGCACCCATTGGCACTACAGTAATGCGTTGTTTCTCTCAGCTGGTAGACACTAACCGGTCATCTTTGTCAAGTGCATTAGTTATGACCGAAAGGTAAACTGCCTGAATTTTATAGGCGATTGCCAGGAAAACATCCCAGAATCAATGTCTCTGGCTTTGAATAATCTCCAGGTGACACATCAGACACCTCTAAAAATAAAATTAATATTTGGAAATGGTCATTAAGGACTGAGATTGAGGAATAAGGTGGAGAGATGTTTGAGTTAAAAACTTGACTTGGTTGTTTCATCATAAGGTTCCCTTCCTTGTCTGGCTCCTAAACATGTTCTGAAAATCAGTTCAAAAGGGGAGATAATTTTGGAGTAATGAAAGCCCATTTGGGGTGAGTATGGCTTCCCAAAGTGACTAGTTTGAAGAATGTGGTTCTCATTTAGATATAGAAGTTCTGGTTTATTTGTGAAAAATCAGTTCTCCTCTTCTTATTTTCAACTTTTTTTTTGGGGGGGGAGGGAAGGAGGAAGGGAGGAAGGCAGGAAGGGAGGGAAGGAGGAAGGGAGGGAGGAAGGAAGGGATGAAGGAAGGAAGGGAAGAAGGGGGGAGGGAGGGAGGGAAGGGAAGGGAAGGGAAGGAAGGAATTCAAGCAATGAGAGAGACATTGCCGATCTGGATCCAGAGGTTTACAAGTTGATTTCTTTTTTTGAGAGAAGGAAAGAAAAAAAAATGAGTAAAGGAGAGAAAGAAAGAGGAAGAGAGAGAGCGAGGGTGAATGGAGATATTGCTTTATTCTGAAAAAAAAAAATGGGTATTAATAATGGCCAATCAATGTTTCTTTTAAACCTATGAGTAGGTGTGATGTGGTATTGACAAGAATGTATATTTTGTGTATTTGAAGTGGAGAGCTCTATAAATATTTATTAAGTTTACTTGTTCCAGATCTGAATTTGAGTCCTTGATATCCTTATTAATTTTCTGTCTCATTGAATCTAAGTCTCTATGTATCTGGGTGTTAGGATCGTTAGCTCTTGTTGTTGCATTGATCCTTTTACCACTATATCTTTGTTGCTTTAAAATCTATTATCTGCTACGAGAATTTCAACTCCTGCTTTTTATTTATTTATTTATTTATTTTTGCTCTCCATTTGGTTGGTAAATCTTTCTCCATTCCTTTGTTTTGAGTCTTTGTGTATCCTTGCATGTGAAACAGGTCTGGATGTAACATGCCGTTGGGTTTTGGCTGTGTCTTTTGATTGGGGGATTTAGTCGATTTAAGTTTAGGGTTACTGCCATTTGATGTTAACTGGCTGTTTGACCCATTCGTTGATGAAAATTCTTCTTTATGTTGGTGCTCTTTACTTTTTGGTATATTTTTAGAAAGGCTAATACTGGTTGTTTCTTTCTGTGTGTAATGCCTCTTTCGGAAGCTCTTGTAAAGCAGGCCTGGTGGTAATAAAATCTCTGAGTACTTTCTTGTTCATAAAAGATTTTATTTTTCCTTCAGTAGTGAAGCTTAGTTTGGCTGGATATGAAATTCTGGGCTGAAGGTTCTGTTCTTTGAGGATGTTGAATATTGGCCCCCACTC